ATGAGACTGCAATATCTAAAGAAAATGTGTCAAAAGCATAAACGTGCAATATTGCAAAGTTCGTAGGAAACAGGGCATCGGAAGTATATCCTAACCTTGTCAATAGAAGAGCATTTTGTTAACTGTGTGCTGTGAGTCTTGCTTGTGGCACAACATCCGTTTTAGCTTAAGCAGCGAAATCCAGATCTTATTCTATTATGGGAGATTCCTTTGGTTTTGCTCGTTTCATTAACCTTGTTCGGATGCATCCATTTTTAAAGGTATGTACGTATCATTAACTTTCTGCAGTCTTCTATACAATATATTCTGACAAAATCTGAATTTATTCATTGTATGATACTGAATGATAGATTAAAGCAACAAAGTATTTTTTTTTCCCAGAAAAAAACATAATCTGACAGTACTAGTACAAACATTACAATCTAGACTCTGTTGAGTACCAAAAGGCTAACACACCAGAGAAATGGAAAGAAGCAAATGCCGAAGGTATCACCATCATCACTAACATCACTTGTTCCCAGATGGATAGGCTGCCATCTTATCCTTTTCTACCTTTTTCAACTCTGTCGAATGAAAATCGTTAGCTTTTCATTTAATTTGCTTTATATATAAAAAGTATAAGTATTAAAAGTATCACATATTGATCTCAATGGCCACTGGGACTCGTATTTGATATGAGAAATTCATTTTAGAATTCTTTCAATGTTTTTTGTTCATGTAACAATTGTAATGGGGTGCTTAACATATCTGATGATAACTAGGATTACATTACCTGCTGATTGGAAGTACTTGAAGTTGGCCGCTTGCTACGTATTCTAGTTCCAAGCAGTTTGTCTCTAACCGTAATCAGCTGATCTACAACAACAGTAGTGCTCATTCTATCACTTGGGAGTTCGGTAGAACAAGCAACACCAATCCCTAGGATTGATGTCAAGCACTCCAATGTTCTTTGATTTCTTGTTGCGCTTCCGGGTCTGCTACTACTTGTCTCCCCTTTCTCTCCTAGGAAAAGCACAGGATCGACAATCTGTGACACATGTTCTGGCAGACCTGTCTTCACAAATTTATGAATGTTATCATCCTCATTAAACATGCCATCAGTAGGTCTCTTCCCAGTGAGCATTTCTAGCAATACGATTCCATAACTATAGACATCACCACTTGGTGACACCTCATTGCCCATTCCGTACTCTGCTATACACATAAGAAAATAATTTGTAAGAAGCATTTACTAAGCAGCATTTCTAGCAACTTACATATGCAGAAACTGAGCTCAAACACGATATTAGCACTATTGTGTATCTTTTCTAAAGAAATATATCAATATAGTTAGTTAATTACCTGGAGGAGCATAGCCGACCGTTCCTCTTACACCGATGGAACTAGATTGACAAATATTAGAGTTATTGTTTCCTTCACGAAGGAATCTAGCTAACCCAAAGTCACCAACACGTCCGGTCATTTCTTCATCCAGAAGAATATTACTTGGTTTAAGATCGCAATGCACAATTGGTATCTCACAGTGATAATGGAGATAAACAAGCGCACAAGCAACATCAATAGCAATATTTAGTCTTCGAAGAAGATTCAGATTGCTTCTTGCCACATCTGCTAGATAAGTTGTTTCAACAGCTGGATGCAACCAGTCCTCTAAGCTTCCATTGACCATAAACTCATAAACCAGAGCCTTAAAGTCATTCCCATGATAATCAATACTAGAGCATGCTGTCAGCACTTTCACAAGATTCCGATGCCTGATGTTTCTTAGGGCTTCACACTCGGCTTTGAAGCTCTTGAAAGCTCCATGGTGCAGAAGGTTAAGTACCTTGACGGCAATTAATTGACCTCCCTCTTCCAGTGTTCCCTTATACACAGATCCGAAACTACCGGCACCGATCATGTTAGTCAAGGAGAATCCATCAGTAGCTTTGAAGAGACTTCCATAAGATGGTTCCAAGAATGAAATCATTGAATGGTTTGAAAGAGGTGGATGCTTTCTTTTTTGTTTCAACCAAAAAAGAAAAATAACCGAGAGCACCAATGTGATTCCGGAAAGCCCAAATATAACAGACAGCACCAAAGACGCCAATTTGCTCTTCCCAGGGCTTTTAGAACTGCATGCCGGCAACTGCAACTCAGGTATCCCACCACAGAGCTTACTATTTGCCTTGATTGAAAAAGCACTTGCATTCTTAAAGACCCCATTAGTAGGTACCATTCCCTCAAAATTATTGTAAGACAAGTTCAAATCTTGCAACATGCCAAATCGTGACAAAAATCCAGGAATTTCACCTGACAAGTTGTTCCGAGATACATCTAAAAGTTGAAGACTCCGTAATGAACTTAAAGACGACGGAATGAGCCCTTGCAAGAAGTTGTCAGACATGTTTAAGGTTTCAAGTAGTACACAACTGCCAAGAGTGCTAGGAATCTGACCAGACAACATATTCCCAGAAATATTTAGCACACCTAAATTCTTCAGGTTTCCAATTTCCAATGGAAGAGTACCAGTCAATTGATTGTCTGATAGGTCAAGAGCAATGGCTAATGATGATAGGTCCGTAAGTTGGGGAGGTATGACACCAGTGAGATTGTTGTGAGAAAGATCTAATAGTAACAAATTTTTGCACCGACCGAGAATCGAGGGAATGCTACCATGAATATTGTTTACACTTACTATAAAATGAATGAGATTAGTTAAGTTTCCAATGGAGTACGGAATTACCCCTGAGAATTTATTTTCATGAATATACAGCGCCACTAGATTTCGAAGCTTTCCAATTTTAGGTGGAATAATACCTGAGAGTTTGTTATTCTGAACACCAAAAACCTGCAAATTGATGAGATTATCTATCCCAGATGGGATGTGTCCATAGATTTGATTATCATATAGATCTAAATAATTAAGTTTGATTGAAAAGTTGCTTATATGTTCTGGCAATAAACCACCAAAGTTATTACGACCTATAGACACTGCAGTTAACATACTTGCATTCGTCAATGAGGACAGAAAAATCATGTCATTTTCTCCCCCACTTCCAAGATAGTTGGTGTATAGAAGTAGCGACTGAAGCTTTTGTAGCTTTTTAAGAGAAGGAACTTTTCCTACAAGTTTGTTTTCTACAAGTTGAAGGATTTCTAGATTGGATGCATTAGATATTGAAACAGGAATGGAACCAGTTATCTGATTAGAAGCGATAGAGAAGAAAGAAAGATTTGGAAGAGATATGAAAAACTCGGGAGGAAGATTACCTTGGAGATGATTGTATCCAAAATCTAAATCTGCAATGGAAGAAAGATTAACGATTGAGGGAGGAATGATACCTGACAATCTATTTGAACCAATAGCCAAAAATGTAAGATTCTTCAATTGGCCTAAAGAATCAGGTATATTGCCAGACAAATCATTTGCGGCTAAACTGAGATTTTCAATATAGGATAAGTTTCCAAGAGAATGCGGTATTTTTCCAGTAAGAATATTGCAACACATGGATAGAACCTGCAACTTTGACAAGGCACCGAGCTCCATGGGAATATCTCCTTCCAACTGGTTATATCTAAAACGAATAGCAATAAGGTTAGAGCAACTGGATATGTTGGGGGGAATTTTCCCATCTATTGAGTTATTGTTGAGGTTCAGATTCCTTAACCTCTCCAGATGCCCTATTTCTCGAGGGATTTCATGGGTGAAGCTGTTGTTTTGGAGATTCAATTCTCTAAGAAAGCTCAAATTGCCAACGTATGGTGATATAGAGCCCTCCAGTTCCAAGGATTGGAGGTCCAGCACCGTCACTCGTTGGTGCCGACGACCACAACTGATGCCATGCCATTGACAAAAATGGTTGGTACCATTCCATGAATTCAAAACTCCAAAAGGATCATGCATGATTTTGGCCTTGAATTCAAGTAAAGCTTGTAGGTCAGTCACATTTCCACTAGCAGCAGAGACAGAAATTGTTGAGTTTAAGTAGACGAGCAGAGCAATAGCGTGGATGGAAAAAGATAAAAACAGTGATAAATTCATGCGGGAAAGACCCATGTGTATCTGGGTAGGTGTTATTCTAGTGAGTTGCTAGGTGTTTGCTTGGTTTATGGACTCATCAAACTAGGCTGTAAGGACTAAAATATATAGATAGGAAATCAGAACTTTACTGTGTTTGAAGTACATATGATTGTCATCCAGACTAAAGGAAAAGGAAAAGGTGGGAAAAATATACTACAAACATATGATGAATAGCATGAAAATTTTCCACCATGAATTGGCCACAAAATCAATCAACGAACGAAAACTATAGTGGAGAAGCACTAATGTTACTAGTTAGTGGCAGCAGTGAATCCAACATAACAGAATCTAAGAACGAATTGGACCTAACTCATTAATTCCAACTAACCAATGACTACAAATTTCCAAGTCTCTCCATCTCTGATTTTTCAAGATCTGAAATGGATTGTTGAGCTGAATGATTTACCACCCGAGAAATTTTCATTTTTAATGGATTATGACGCCTAATTCCAGTAATTGGGAAAAAAATTGTGCCACTTGTAGTCTGGTCACAATAGTTGCAGCTTGGTTATGATTGTAAATATGTTTAGGATTATATTTGATATTAGAAATCCATTGAAAATTACTTCCTACTTTTTTGGCTCAGACTTGATTACTTAAGTACTAGTTGAAGTTGGCCTTTCCCTGTAAATTCTAGTTTGTCTATGACTGATTAGTATTATTATTATGAACCAAAAAAAAAAAAAAAGAATTGAATGGTAAATTATTATAGCTAAAAAACTGTTTTATATTGCTCAATGACCAAAACGGGCCTTTTTAACATTGAAAAAAGTCATTTTCTAGAAAATTGTAGTTTTGTGGATATTTACATTCTTCTTTGTCTTGGGTGTTTTAGGCTTTTATGAACTAGTTCCTAACCTTCTTTTCTTGACTTTTGCTTCATGAATATAGAGAAAAGAGAGAGAATCAAGGTGAGAGATGGAGGAGGGAGAAAGCTCTAACGGGCTTCAATATCAGTTCTTAATCTAGAGATATTGGTGTCCATTTGTTCGCTTTCACAATAGGAGTTTGTTGATGGTGGTTCTAATGCCCTAAATTATTGGAAAAATAATATCAAATTTCAAAATGTAATTATTATGATTTTTTTTTATAGCATAGGAATATAAGAAAAAGGTAGAAAAAAGAGAAACATTTGGGATTTTTTATTTTTTTTTCAAAAATTTTTTTTTCAAAAAAAAATTGCCTTGTGTCAACATCATGTGTGTCTATCACTGAAAATTGCAGCCACTATCTGAAAATTTAGATGGAGGGATGAAATTAAGACGTTAATTAAAGTAGAGAGATGCAATTAATGAGAAAATTAATAAAGATGCACAATTTAGTGTTAGAACTTTAGTAGTAAGTAGGATTGTAAGCATTGCTCAATCTCTTTTTCTTATCAAACACTTTGTATTTATCTTGTATAGCTATTGGTCCTTATCACAATATGTATTTCCATATAAATACATTTCACATCAAGATTAATGCATAGAAGAGTTTTCCAATACTTCAAATGGTATCATAGCCAATCTTTTTTAACTGTCTAATCTTTCTTCTTCTTCTCAACCAATGGCTGGCCAACTCATTGTTTCATCAAACACTACTCCTTTTGCTACACCCACCTCCCATCACATTTTTTTTTTCATAAAACTTACTACTCGCAACTTTCTCACCTGAAAAACTTAGTTTTTACCACTACTAATTAAACTACTATAATCCTACTAGTTTTATTGATGGTACAGCCTCCTTACCACACACCATTCCATCGCCCATTACTCCCTCCACATCTATTCCCAATCATGATTTTGAACCATGGTTTCAAAAAGACCAACTGTTACTTTCATGGCTATTATCCTCTCTATCGAAAGATGTTTTTTCTTATGTAATTGGTTTGCAACCTTCTTGCTCCATATGGAAGGCATTAGAAAGTGCATTTAGTTCTACATCTTAGGACCATTGATTACAGCTCAATATAGAACTTTAGGAGCTGAAGAAACACTATATGTCTATCACTGATGATATTCAAAAAGAAAAAAGCCTTATTGATGAACTTTCTGCCACTGTTCACTCCATCTCTACTATTGAGTTTAATGTGATTATCTATTGCAATATTGGGACATAATATCATCCTTTTATTACTTTCTTGAATTTGCAAAATGATCTCGTTTCCTTTCCAAAACTCCATGGCTACCTACTTTCACATGAAATGTTAATCAAAAGCATGAATGCTCAACCAACTGCCAATGTATCTTTTAAACATCCACCAACCTATTTACCATGCCCATTTTCCCCATCTTCATTTACTGGATAGAATTACAACTATTCTCAGTTTTGTCATACATGCCAATACAAGCACGATTGTGGCCCTTACCAAATTAATTTGTGGATTTAACAACCACATTGCTGATAGGAGTAGGCATTGTTATATGTCACATCAAAAATCTTTCATCTCACCACATGCCATTGTTGCTTGGCATGATTCAGCCATGTCTGTCCACTCTCATCCCATGTCGCCATCTATTTTGCCTCTTGCATTTTCACCATTTCATTCTTCTCCTTCCACAGTGGGATGGTACCATAATATAGATGCTACACATCATACGACTCCAAATTACTCTTCTTTCTCTAATGTTATAGCTTATAAGGGTACAAATCAAATTACTATTGGTAATGGCCAAGGTTTTCCTATTTCACATGTTGGTATTTCTTTTTACCCTTCCCTTTCTCCTAATAAAATTTTCAAGCATCCAAATGTTTATCATGTTCCAACTCTAACTAAATCTCTTATGTTTGTTTAAAAAATTATCACTGATAACAATTGTTTTTTTGAATTTTGGCATTCTCATTTTCTAGTAAAGGACCGGGTGAGCAAAGCAACCACTGTTGCAAGGTAAGAGTGAGAATGGACTCTACCTGTTAATGTCTCCACACAAGCGAGGCATTCCTAAGCCGAAGTGTTCCATTTGCAACTTGGCACTCTCGTTTTGGTCATCCTCACCCTCACACTACCTCCAAAATAATCAAAGATAATAACTTGCATTGTTTTACTCCGTCTATGTCTACAAGTAGCTGTTTTGCGTGTCACTTAGGAAAAGTTAGTTAGTTTGCCTTTAGTTTTTGTTGAACACACAAGTAGCAAACCTTTTGACATTATTCATTCAGTCATTTGAGGACTTGCTCATGTTCTTTCTAATTTAGGATATTGATATGTTCTCTTGTTTGTTGATGGTTTTACAAGGTTCATTTGGGTTTATTTTCTTAAAAATAAAATTGATGTCTATTCCATTTTTCTTTAATTTTAATCATATATCCATCAACAATTTAATTGCATAATTAAATCATTCCATTCAGATTGGGGAGGAGAGAATCGAAAATTACTTTCTTATTTCAAACATGTTGGCATTGTTCACTGTATCGCATATCCGTACACTAATAAGCAAAATGGCATTTCTAAGCATAAAATCATGCATATTGTTGACACTAGTTTACCTACTTTGGACTTATGCTGCTATTCCATTCAAATATTGGCCTTATGCTTTTCAAATTAATGTTCAGTTAATCGACTTACTACCTACTCCAATTTTCCATAACAAAATACCATATGATAATTTGATGTCTAAAAATATATATCTAAAATCATACACACATGGAATTACTGAGTGATTAAGAACTAACCTATGAATTATACCAAGTACTTTGTCAGAAAGCATGACCATGGAACCTAAATTATAAAGGAAAAGTTACTACTAAAGAATAATTATAACTAGTTATTCATAAGTAGTGAGAATTGAACTTTGATTTTGACCAGACCAAAACAATCTTCTTATTACTAGACCACATCCCTTGATGTTCTATAAAGACTAAAGTAAAAGGAAAAGGTCGGAAGCATATGGAAAATATTCCACCATGACTATGCATGGTTAGAAAATCAATCAGCCAATGAAAACTGTAGTGGAGATGCATAAATGTTGCTAGGGAGTGGCAGCAGTGAATCCAACCTAGCAGAATCTAAGATGGAATTGAGCCTAACTCACTCTGAATTCCCACTGACCAAATGACTACAAATTTCCAATCCCAGTGACAAAAGATCAAGTCACTCACTAATTTCTCATATTACTTAGGCCATTTTTCTCTTCACAATAGACATTACCATCATTTAGGGAACTGCCCCTAGTCTTTCCATCTCTATTTTTTCATGATCTGAAATTGATTGTGGAGCTGAATAATTACCAATTAAAAGATTTTTATAGTTCATGGATTATGACGACTTCCACTTAGGAGAGAAAAATAATACCATTGGTACTGGTCTCCGAATTTGCCTACTGGTTTCCAGAACTAAGATATTTCAAATTTAGATGGCACTTATCGAACCATAAACTTCTGCCGATTGTGATAGTTTTTTCTAACTAGACACAGCTTAGTAATGCGAGATTCGTTATCTATAGTGCTTTAGGTTTGGGGGGGGGGGGGGGTTGGTGGCTTGGCTTCAGATTCATTTGGAGTTGTATTTTATTTATTTATAAACTTTTTTTTTTCCGGGCAAGGCCAATTGATTCTATAGTATTGTAAATTTTTAGTCAGACGGAGACAGATCTCGAATCTTTAATTTTTTCGCCATGGACCAAATTCCAACTGCACATGAGAAACATGTCAGAGTATAATGACAAATAAAAAAAAACTTACATTAAATACTGAAGAGACAGTCAAGAAAGCTAGACATGCAATGGAAGACAAGCATTGTTGTTGAGAATGCAAGGTTATCCAAGTGTGTCGTCACATGATGAGTAGCGCTAGTGCCCATAATTTACTGGGAATTATTTGCTGTGGAAGTAGAGAATGCAAGATGTGAAGATGGGTGAGAATAGCGAGTGTATGGGCGAGATCGGGGATATGGACAAACATTAGCAAGATGGCCAGTGCCATTACAATTAAAATGGGTGACAGTACTAGAAGCAAGCGACATATGATTGGAAAAAAGAGCACTTTGGGATGAAGCAAAATATGAAGGACGTCCACCACAACGCCTTCGACCACAGGTAGGAAATTGTCTATTGGCATAGTGAACTGAGATGGGAGTTTCAGCAGCAGATGGCAGATGATCTTGAAGCTGAAAATCTTCATTGAGAGCAAGACCACAAAGAGTCTCATAAGAAGTTAATTTGTGCCGTGATTCTACCGAACGAAAGAAAGGCCTGTAAGGAGCGCCAAATCCATGTGTTAAAATATGTGAATGCAGTATGCAAGATGGCACGTACATGAAGAGAATGCATGGTGATATGCATGGTAACATCTCGGGAACAATTAGAAGAAGAATCTGTTATAACTAACCTTGCACACCAATTGTTTGTTATAATGATTCTGTCACACTGCCAGCACTGGAAGTAACAGCAGTCATCCTCTGCCACTTGTCAACTGATCCGAGGAGCTAGGAGATTCCATTTGCTGCAAGCCTGCAATAGTCAATGATTGGCACATGAGAATGGGTCATTAGAAATTAGTTATAGGATCTTCTTATTGTAACAACTTCTAGAATATAAGTTAGTGTATATATATAGAAGCAGAGGCCAGGATGTAAAGCATGATTTGTATCATCAATAAAGAATTTTCTCCCATTCTTTCGTCTGTCAATTTTAACACCATGAAGTATAAGGCTTGTAACAAATCATCTTCAGGAACAGGCGAACCAAGAGATTGAAGATTATCAAAGACATTTTTCCCATGGTGAAAAACTGAGGAATTGATTCAATGGTAATTGAACAAGACGATAAAGGTTGCTTTTCAGCTGATTAACCTGTGGTCTTGTCCTAGAACCATAAGTAGCAAGGAGCTTAAACCAGGCTGCACGAGCTGTGGGAGCACCAACCACAAGAGGAAGGAAAGCTTCTTTCTAGGAGCCAACATCCCATGTAAGAACCAATTGATGGTCTCATACAGCATAGGCGGGATTGGGGTCAAAGTCATTGATAGCAGCAAGAGGTGGAGATTGAGTGCCATCAATATGATGGAGAAGACCATGGCAGCGCAGAAGTGGAGAGAATTGTGTTTTCTAGAAAAGGAAGTTTGTAGGAGTGAGTTTAAGGAAGGAATGAATGTGAAAATTGGGTAGAGGATATGAAAATACAGAAGAGGAAGAATCTGCAAGGATGAGGGTTCTGTTTTGGGAGAGAGCAGCGGGTGTGTCTTGTGAAGGAGCAACCACGGTTTTTTTTTTTTTTTTTTTTAAAAAAAAGAAAAATAGAAAAGGAATGGGCTGTTAAGTCTCTGTTAGCTCTGATACCATGTAACATATATTCGCTCTATATTAATAACATTCTACGCATGTAATATATATACAAGAGTCTCACTAATGGCTAATATTGTTAAGATGAAGTACAGGAGAGTGAAGCTAAAACATAGGAGATAATAGAGCTGAACACAGTAATAGCTAGAACTGATATAAGTTATCCTTATCAGGTCTTCGTTAGGTGTTGCCTGTTATGGGCGACATCGGCAAGATTGTGGTGGTTTTTTGTAACAAGACTCAGCTTAGTAATGCGAGATTCGTTATCTATAGTGTTTCAGGTTAGGAGGGTGGCTTCAGGGTGGTTAAGTTATCCTTATTGCTTCATTTGGAGTTGTATTTTATTTTGTTTGTATTTATATAAACAATGAACTTTGCCAGCAAGGCCATAGTATCCTAAACTTTTAATCAAATGGAGACAAACCTTCAATCTTTAATTTTTTTTTTTTTTTTGATTTAGGTTCCAAATCTTTTTATTTTTGTCAACAATTAAGTCGAATCTTCTCATTGGCCAAATTTCAAGTACAGCACGTGAGAGGCATGTGAAAAAAAAAACCTTACATTTAATACCGAAGAGATTGTCGAGAAAGCTAGACATGCAATGAAAGAAAAGCATTGTTGTGAGACGACCTCCATCTTTGAAGAAATTGCAAGAAGAAGAGGCAGCCGCAGAACCTGAAAAATCTGTTTTGAGCCTAATCTATTAATGTATTATTCTGCAATGAATTTAAATGCAGTTTCATATTCCTTTAATTCATTTCGTTCGTCCCGCTCTTTTGCGGTTCACTCCCTTCTTCAGTTTCCATCACCTCAAACAACCATGGCAGAAGAACTGCTGCCGCCGCCGTCAGAACTCCCAAGTTCAAATCCAACCAGTCTCAAGGACCCTGAGCTCCAAAAAAATAAAAAAGCAAGCAATGCTATACCGCATCTACAACCTCCACCACCACTGATTCCACCGCCTCCTTCCTCTCAACATTTACCAACTCCATCTTTTTCACCTCTATTCCTCTCTCACCTATTATATTTTTCCTCCTAAAATTTCTGAAGTATGCACATAAAAAAAAAAAAAACACCTCTCTTTCCTCCTACATATGAGACTTTTTCCTCATTTCACTTCTTCTTCTCCTTCCTCTCTAATCTTTTTTTCAGAATTGTTATTGTGAACAACAACCCAAATAAACAAATTTGCTCCTTTTTTGGGCTGGTTTTTGTATTGTAAATTAGCCACCAACTATTTGATGAAATGTCATAGCTTCCTGGATTGGATATGGCAAGGAGACAATGCTATCAAAGAACATGAAAAGGCACCTGAAGGACGAAACCCTACAAAGCCAACATCGTCAGTGGAACATGAAAAGCAAATTGTTGCAACCATGACAAAAGAACTCTTTATTGGGAATAGATGAGGCTTTTTAGTTATTAAAAGTCTTTTACTTTTTTTGGATCAGTTCAAGTGCTTGGGACTATATTTTTCAGGACACCTGTCGTTCTTTCATTGGATCATGCAGTCGGAGTTTAGTTAACAGAAAAGCTGGACTTGATTGCTGATCAAAGAAAAAATTTAGGATCTAAATTGAAAAAAATTAAAGATGGATTAACTGTGTTAGTCTGACAAAAAATTTAGAACACTACGGAGCCAATTATCTTTTTAGCAATATAATATCCTTCGAACAGAAACATACAAAGCTGGAGTGAACCAACTTTGAGTGGATTAGTGTAGCT